GGAATGCCAATTTCTCCACACCACCGCCCCACTATAAGGCATCATTTGATTGATGTCAGTTGTGACATTTAGTAGTTGTATGTTACTGTACAGTAGTTGACAACTAGAATAAGAAAACGTTCAAGACAGGGTAGTTTACTCATTGAAGTCTCTGAAATACCAACATTGATATCTGACACAACAGATGGATAGTACTGTATTACACACTGCAACTTCAATCCCACAAATTCTGGTCAAGGGAAACAGCACAGTACACCAATTTATAACCAACTAGAATACAACATCAAACATTTTACCAGACAATACAAATCAGCTACATCCCAGTATCATTTGCAGGTCTAATATTTTTTACTTATTATAAAATACTCTATTCATAAGTATACAACTCCTTATACTGCCCACTCACATTCTCTCACGTGCTCTATCGGACACACAGACATTAACCTTTTCACCATCCTCTTCAACATTATTATGTTTATGCATGGAACCAACTTCAGATTAACCTGTTAACTCAGTATCACATCTCCCCTCAAAGCTCCTTTAAGCTTGGACCTATTATGACACCTGAAAAAGATTACCGTCTGCTAACATGTGGTCAGTAAGGACCGCTGATACTGATTTAATTCATCCTCCTGAAAAAGTCTCTAACCCAAAGTCAACTACTTGTGCAACACTGTGCTACCATCTTAAATCTCCTAACCCTTTAATCTAATGCTAAATCATAGCTTAGTTCTATTAAATAGATGTTACAGCAAATAATTTAACAGAATGGAGGAGACTGTTTTGTTTCACTATAGTTTTCATTTAGGTCATATTATCACCAAGAGAATACATACTAAGTATCCATTATTGAAAAGGATGCACTTCATAAAAATTCAAGTTCAGAAATGCAAAAATCTCTTCCTTATGTAGCAAGTGAAAAGATGCTTTGAATCAAACATTCTGCAGAATTTACAAATTATAACACACAAAAATATGCTAACATAAATAAATTAAAGTAAAGCTGACTTGCACATTTTCACTGTTAAACAAGCTGCAACAAAACATCCAAAAAGAAATGTTTCATACTTCCACTCCAATTCAAGTACACGGAATATAGTTCAAAGACTACTTGTATGAATCTCCAATAGACGCATCTCAATAACCTCACTAAAACTGAGATATGGTAATTCAAAGAACATGAAGCCACAAACTACTTGCTAAAATGAATCTGACTTTTCTTCTCATTTAAAGGGCAACATGGAAGTTATAAACAAACTATTTCAAAGACACAGAGAAATAGTCAAAAGCTCCACTTTGGGAGAAAATAGGTAGAAATATTAGAATGTGAGAAAATAAGTATTCAAAAGTGACCAGACTGAGAAGGTCTGACGAGGTGAACACAAGTTCATTTTTCTCTGAATGCAGAGAAATTAGAAGGAACAAATTAAATTCAGCAAGATTCAGGAACCATGTGGCACCTCGTAAGTGACATATGTAGTAAGAAGCAGATGATCTGCACATAGACAGAAAAACAGAACAAGTATGCTGCAGAAAACATTAAATGACAGTTCACAGAACAATTAGATTAGTTAAGATAATGAACAGTGGAGGAGGGAATGGGGCAAAAAGTACATGAGCTCCAAAAACAAAGTTTCTTACTGGCATGAGGAAATTATAACAACACACTAAGGTAGCTGTGTACATGCTGTTCTATAGCTCAGCTTGCTGAGCACCCAAGAATTAAATCGGCACAAGTGTAACAATTAGGCAAAAAGAATTCCGAAATAGATTAGTATTTATATCAAAGACGACAAATTCCAGACCAGAAATAAATTGCTAGATACAATCTGTGATGCTGTTTACGATAGACTTGCCAAGAATTTTAGAAAGAAGAGTATTAAGTAGTTAGTTCCTTGTTTTTCTGTGGGAGAGAAGAAACCCCATTATGTTATTTAAAAACTAAGATTTGACAGAAACATGAAAAAAGCAGAAAAGCAGAAGGCCTACAATCACAGAGAATATTCTATACTGACACTAAAATTAAAAGACCACAAAATTTCTGAGAGTAAGGAAGGTGATGTGTTCAGCTCACAGATACGAGTAACTAAATAGTCATGTGGCTGCTGTCTCGCAAGCTAAGGAAGCTGTTCAAAAGATCCTTCATAATGCTTCTGGTGCAGTGATTCTATTCACTGCACAGAAAGGCCCAAGGTATACCGTTAAAGAAATTACACAAGTGTATCACAAAGTCAGCTAAAAAAAAATAGCTATGTTATTGTCCAACTTCTGACATTAATCTTCATTTTCAAAATACAACATTTTAAATTGATGTACCACTGTGCCACAGTAAAAATGCTGGGAAATAACATTTTGGCACACAATTTCCTGTCATCTTGCTCTGAAATAAAAGGCATCCTACAGCTACAGTCTCTTCCCTAATTGTCTGAAGACACATTTGCCTCCATAAACAGCAATATTAGAGATTTATACAGAAATACAAGGAGTCAACTTACCTTTATTTCCCTGTCCTTTAGGTCTCTGTACATAGGAAAAAGGGAGAGGAAAAAAAGCAAAACAAGTTCAGTTAGAATCCTCTAAAGTTTACTCCATGGTAATTCCATTTATTTGCCAATTCTGCCCTTTACATCTTAAATATCAGCTTTAAAATACTACTAAAAACATGCTATAATAAAAATATTAGTTTATGTAAAATAATATATTACTAAAAAACCCAAAAATAATTTTAAGATCAAAAGAACACCAAAAATCATTGAAATAATCTCATCTTTCACAGCATGTGAAGCTTAAATGGTGTTGAAAACCTGAACAAATGATTTTTGATTGCCTCCCTCCTGAGAAATATAAGCAATAAACAAAGCACAGAATAAAACAACACAGAAAGTTGGTAGCTTAAGATTACTGCCAGTACTGGAACTTCATTAGAACTTCATTACCGTATGTCATCGTTTAAGTTGACTGATGAGTGCTTATCACAGAACAACCTACAATGCCTTGCTTTTTAGATATACAAAGGAATATGCAAAGATATTGTAAGACAAACTCTGAGTTGTGCATTGCTCTTCTAGCCAATTACATTGAGAAAATGATAGTCTGCATGTAGCTTTCACACAAGGAAATAATACCTTAAGGAGGATTTTATTTTTAGGATTAGTCATTACAAAACACTGTTAATCTGTCATGCACTAAGAATCACTGTAACAGTACAAGTTACAGTATCCTTAATTCCTCTATGGCAAAGTAAGATATCTTATGAAAACAAATGCTAGCCCATGAAAATCTAATTCATCTTTTCACATATGTACAACTACGCATAAGTGGGTCTCCTGTCTCCATGACTAACAATTTTCAGTCCTGAAAAGCTCAGTATTAAGAGATTTGAAAGTTCAGGAGGATATCATCTCCATCTTGCTTTTATGTGCATGTCTCAGAGTTAGCATAAGATAGTTTAGCATTGCTCCATCTAAAGCTGCACCAGTTAGTCACCTCCCTGCCCCAAAATCAGAAGAAAAATCTCTGTAACCTTAAAAACCTCAACTCATATTTTGGGACTAATCTAATCCAGACACAAAGGCATACAGAGACCAACAAAAGACATGGAACTAAAAAAGTTGGGAAGAAGCAGCCTTCATAGAAGACAGAGCAATGAAAAGCTAAGAGATCACTGAAACAGAAATAAGTGCACAAAAGAAAACTGGAGAGCATGCACAGAGACAAAAGAAACAAAACATTAAAGGCAAAGAGAGAAAATAAAAGGACGCAGGCCAAAACTTTTGGGGAGTGGCAGAGGCCCACAGAGGAAGAAGAGACCAAGTCAGAATAGCTTCCAGCCAGAAAGGAAGGCCAGCAGAGGCCTAGCAAATATAAACAAAATACAAAACTCCAGGCTCCATGAAGATCCAACTAAAAAAGTACAGCACAGTGCACGGAGAGAAACAGAGTAGAACAGAGTAGAACAGAGGGAGAAGTGGAGGCCGCGGGGAACGAGCAGAAACCAGAGGCCTGAAGGGAGAAGAGGCAGGTGAGGAGGAAGGAAGCCACGAAGAGAAATTTCGAGGAGCCACAGAGAATCCGGGGTGCACAGGCGAGAAGGGAAGGAACTGGGAGCCGCGGGGAGCCCGGTACCAGGGCGCTCCGAGAGGAAACGGGACCGAAGGGGCTTGGCCGGGGAGGGTTCGCTTGCGGGACGGGAACACACAAAGCGGGCAGGCGGGGCAGTGAGGCCAAGCCGGCGGGTCGGGAGGCGCAGGCCTGAACGCC